GCGCTCCTAAACCTGGCAGGGGCGCAGGATGATGAACCCCAGACCCAGCTGCCTCAGACCCTCAAGTTTTATGCTGACCCAGAAGCCATCAGACTGTGCAGAGTGGGCAAGGCAAAGGCAACTTCAAGGTCAACGTTCCTCGGCCTGGGCTTTGAGGACGACCAAGAGTGCCTGGGAGCGTCCCCATTCATCGTGTTGGACACCGCAGGAGAGGCCTCTGAAACCGTACCACCAGCTGGGGAGGTTTCTCACAGAGGATCTCTCCCGGATCTCGGACATTATTAGTCAGACTGGACCTTTTCTGTTGTACTTTTTTTCAGCCAGAAGACAATCCCCACCGCTCTCGGGGAATTCGCTTTTTCAGAGCAACCCCCAATCTAAAGTTGAGGTTATTTCTGCCAGACGTTGTTTTTATTTTTTAAAGTGTTCTGAAATAGAAAGAATAAGACACACGCACACAAAGTTCTCCTTCTCAGCCGCATATAGTTACCCCAATCCAGGCTTCTCCTGTTTTATCTAGATAAGCAATAGACTGTCTACCAGAGCTGTAGAAATAACAAAGAGGAACTCCTGTTTTTGGAATTTCAAGATAGTTTTGTGTTCTGCTCTAATTTTATTTGGGCCCCTATTTCAAATTTCAAGAAAATATTAGGATGATCACTAGAAAAGTTGATTATAACCTAAAAACTTCTTTGGTCTTCACCTTAATTTTCTAATTACAATGCTGCGCTGTTTGATGAATATTTTAGAATCCTTTCAAAGCCGCAGGTGTGTTTCTTTCCGCAGCAACAAAACTGTATTCGTCTTTACTCAACGTCCTCTAGTGTATGTATATTTGCTATCCAGCACTCGACCAAAAATGCTGATGTGTTCGCCAACTGGCCTCACTGAGTCAATCAATCCAGTTGGGTGTTCTCCCAAGTGAGTGATCAGAGCTGCCCCACCCTGCTGCGGGCAAAGAGGAGGAATTTTTCAAGTCTCCTATCCTTTGACTACTTCAGTGGTGCATTACTTCGCAGTGCTCCTCTCTGAAACTGTAGAGTCAGTATTTCCCTTCTGATGCTCCACTTTAAGGGGTCATCTATGTGCCAGGAGATTTCGCTGTGGGTGATTTCTTACCCTCATTGCCCTTGCAACAAGGCTTTTATTTAGACTTTCCTTTTGCCACCTTTCCAACTTGCCAATTCTCTCCGTAGCCCTGGCTCTTTCCCCAATTCTTGAGGGAACAAAGTTCAAGCGCACGTGTTTCTCGATTTCCTGCGGCCAGGGGGCACTAAATGAGCAGCTGAGGTCACCCCCTCCTTGGAGCCTGAAACCCGCTCGCTGGATCCCACCCAAGTGAGGAGAGGGAGCTGAGACAGTGACTCAGAGTTGGCGACGATTAAACCAGGTAACGAGACACCGGGCAGATGTGTTTTCATTGCCCTGTAAGATAAATGCAGTGTTAAGTGCCTGACAACTTCCCAGAAGCAATCAGCAAAAGTTTACGAGTGCATAAACCTCAAAGACCATTCCCCGGCGGTTGTTATAAGGACCGCTTTTAGAGCTTCTATAAATTCTCTCGCCGTTTCCCAAAGCAAAGTTTCTAGTGACTATTAAGCAGCCACCTCCTCCGAGGAGACTAGGGGGATTTTCTTGAACCGCCAAAGAAAGAGGCCTTTGCCTTCTACTGAGTGAAATAAAGTTGCGCAAAAGTTTGTTCCAGAAGTTTGGGAAGAGGAAGGAGGTGGTGGGAAGTCGTGGAGGTGGGATCCAGGAAGGGACAATAGATGCCTTTGGGTGTAGAGTTACTAGATTCTTGCGAAAAAAGCAAGATCCGGTGAGGGTCCGGGGTCTAACACGGGCACGCAGCGCCTTTGCCACACTTGGGCTCTGCAGAGTACAGGACCGCAAGGCACCTACCGCTAAGACGGCGCTATCACCAGGCCCGGGGACGGTCGACCCTACGCCCTTCAAGTGGCCACTGCGAGACCCACATGAATCCAGGCGTCCAGAGCAAAGTTTTGGACCACAGGAAAGGGCAGGCTGAATGGACATTTAAGTCTGACATCAGGGGACGTGTAGCCACCCCACCCAAAGCCTTAAAGGTGTTAGCTTCCATCATTCTATAAGTAGCCCGAGAACTTTGAGATGTTAGGATCCTAGGCAAACACGATCCACCTATGTTTATAGAGAAACTTCGTTTATGATCCCAGTGAAAACAAAGCTAATTGAAAAAAACAATAACAGTAGCGTGTCTTTAGCTTCCTAAAGGGAGAGGTTAACAGCTGCTAGCGCCGGGGGAGGGAATGAGGGAGGCTAGCCGTGAGCTTGGGACCGCCCTGCACGTAAACTAGCCTTTAGGTCCCCAGCGAGACACGTGGCCAGGCTCAAGCCTTCACAGGCGTGGATTTGGGCCAGGCAATAGAGCCTCTAGCAGTCAGAAGGCTTTCTCAACCTCTGAGTTCCAGTACATCCAAAGGAGCTTAGGTAACCAAGGACTGCGTGGATCTAAGCAGGGGGCTGTGTTTCTGTCCCTGAAAGATGAGATCTCAAGCAATTATTTTGTAAAGATAGCGCTGGCTGGGCCCTTTTTCATCCTTTCCAGGTGAAAATGCAGACATTTTTGTGTCACCCTCACCCTTCCATTATGAAATAAGGCGCCCAACTGTTCTGATATTACCATTCAAAAACAGGTTCTGTGGTGAACCTCATTTGTGAATCTATTACAGAGATTAATAGATTATTTCTCCTTTTTCAACTAATTCTCACTGGGGAAATTTAACCATATGGTAAGGAGAGAATTAGAATTTCATCACATTAGAGCAAAATGTAATGAAAAGAGTCCAACACCTGGGGCCAACTCTGAAAGCCACAATTAAAAGGTTTTTAATGAAACCAGAGAAACCAAAAAACTGCACAGCCTTCAGTAATTCTGCCACATAAGAAAGAATTATTGGAGGTGTTGGGAAATATTGTTTTTACTTATGTCATAAGGATGAAAACCAGCTGCTCAATACCATGTGCTCCTAAAGACTCAGCTCTGAAGCAAGAGGACCCAGTGTACCATTTCCCATCCGGAGAGAAGCACTTGTTTTCAGTTCTTCCCTTAACTCACCCTCCAAGAACAACCTAGACAGATCCAGATGTCCCTGAACAGTTAACCTAGATGTGGCAGTTCCAGTTCCGGTTAAATAAATATGCACAAGTGCCCACACTTGGTGTGTGAGAGGATCTAACTCTTGGTATTGACTCTTGTAAAGCAACTGGATTTTAATCTTGAGGAAAGTTTGAGACACCAGTTTCTTCCTGTTTAGAAAATAGTGTGTTTTATAGTTACCATCACCACAGCAGTTATTTGGGTATCATTGTGTAAACACACCGGCTACTCCTTCCTTAAAAAAAAAAAATCAAATGGGCTGCATAATAATCAATTTATTCTTCGTTTTGCTTTTTAAATTTTTTTTTTCAATCCAGGTAGGAACTGGGCAGTGGAGGGGTGTGGAAAAAAGGAAGAGTGTTGGGGGGGGGGGGGGACACGATTGCTTTGCTCTCTTACTAGCTGAAAATCTAGAGCGAATTTTGGACAAGCCTTCTGGGACACCACCTTCCCCCTGGAAAGTCCCATTTCCAAATCCAGACCTGAGACATCCGATGAACAGGGGTGGAGTATAATTCTCGCCTGAAAGGGTAATTTAGCACAAGCTGAAACAGCAGTGGTGAGGGAAGGGCAGTGGGGGTGGGGTGCGGTGGGTGGGGGCGTCTGCTTTCCATGGGACTCCCAGGCTTCTCCGCCGGTCTACAATTTGCTGAAGGAGCAAAGAACATCCTCGGCTCTAAGTAGGGCTTTTAGTGTGCTCATTGATGAGTGAAAGTCGCCACACATGTCAAGCTAAAGGCAGTTGTTGGGTTACTAACAGGACCCAGCGCCTTGCAAACATATGCGCTAAGCTGTGTATACAGATGGCAGGCAGAATAATGGAGCAGGCGCCTTTTATAAAGCTCTAGCTGCTGCCTGTCTTCAGACCTGGGAAATGAAACTATTCAGACTCGCGGCCAGATAGCGCCTGCGATTGTTTGTTACCGTTTTAATCCTATTAATTAAAACGTTAACCTGATTGGGTAGAAAGCGCTGTCCCAACAGGCGAGTCTTCTTCATAATAACCTACTCAGAGATAATGATGTAAAAGACTCCCCCGTCTGTGGCGGCGGCTGGTTGATGGGTCCGGAAATCTCTTGAAGGTGAATCCAAGCAAGATAAACGGTGCGGAGAGGAGGCGCGGGGCTGGGCTCAGAGC